CCGAGATCGGTATTGGCCTACCTAAGGGATTGCAGAATACGATCTCGAAGACAATAACCTCCGGGTCCCAGATGTTCAAAATCCCAAATTTTACATCTCATATCTACTCACCTCCGGGTCCAGGTCAAAGAACTCAGAATCTACTCAGTAACCTCAAGGTTATGAACAAGTTTCCCTGTAATACAGAAGAGACCCCAGGGTCCCAAGCAGTCGACTTGAATTTGTGAATTCCAATAACTAACCTCAGGGTTAAATGAACTTCCGAGTTCCCAGTGTTCAAAATCTCCAATTTTACACTCCTCACCCCCAGGCCCAACTAGAGTCTCCAAGCCCAGACGGCAAGCCTATCGATTTAGCTTCCACGTCCTAAAGAGGTCTCATATCTCCATGTTTGAGTAAGACAACGCAGGGCCTAATCAGAGATCTCAGGATCTAAACAAGGTTCTAGAAATCCTCCAAGACCCCCGGGTCCTAATTTCTGAAAACTATGAGTTTTACATTTCGTTCCTATCATGATAGTCAAATCAGTAGAGTTCTGACCCTCAAGAAAACGTATGCGTAAAAAAAAAAAAACTTTTATAGCTCAGAGCTTGAAGAAGTTCAAAGAATGAAGGAAAGAGAAGAGCGTTAATGAAAAAAATCTCATGGTCCGCCAGAGCCAGAAGACGAAGGGATGGCTGGTTCGTCCGCGAAAGAGGGAGGATCCACGCCTTTGAACTTTTCCTCAGCAAGAACCACATCTTTGTACCGATCGAACTCCCTAGCCAAGTCCCAGCTGTGGGCCCGCCCATCGAGCCAATCTCGCATTACCTCCCATCGAGAGGTGATTTTCTCCCCGTTCACAGCCTTCACCTTCACGTCCTTTGAAATCTTCGCCTCAACTCTTAGTTTCTCCAAATCCTCTTCCAATTCCTGGTTCTTACGACCTAGCGCCAGAGCCTCCAAAGAAGAAGTTTCCACCGCGTCTTCAATCGCCTTGATCTTGGCCTGTAGATCGCGCAGTTCCATCCCTTGGGCCGCCCTCTTCTTTTTTCCTCAGATAACGGCCGGGACAACTCCTTGGCTTCCTATTTGACTGAGGACACATCCTCCTTCGAAAACCGAGCTCCAAAATGATGCAATAGGGAGAGGACCTGCGCAAAAGATCACCCAATAAGGCTCACGATAACGAGGCTAAAACAGGAGCAAGAGCCCTACTCTTACCTGAAGGAGTCTCTCTTGAAGCGCCAGGATCACCTCCGCTGGACCTTCGCCCGGAAGAGGGACATTCTCTTGTGAGAACACCCTAGCGTTCAGGTCCCCAAGGACATCCGACAAACCCCCAGTCGCGTGCTAAGTATCAAAATCCTGTGAAACCAGCCGAGTGGCCATCCTGCCCCTCGATCTTCTCCCTGAGAAGAGGAAACATCGTCGCTCTTAATCACCGTCTTGTAACTACTTCCAGTTATCATAACCTCGTCCTCTGAAACGGTCGGGATGACAGCACCCTTCCTCGCTGAAATCGCCTCGTTCGCCTTATTAAAGGCTTCCATCGGGTCTTCTTCTACCGGGCCACCTGTTTTAAACAAAGTAAGTCAACACCAGCCAAGTTAGGAAAACGGAAAAGGAGTATGACCAACATCAAAGAAGAAGACTCACTCCGAAGCCTGCTACGACCCAACGCGACGGGGCTGAGGAGATAGGCACCTGAGGCCGTGCAAGAGGAAGGGCTCGGGCACTAAGAACATTGTCTTCCCCGCCCGCACGGGCCGGTGAGTTCCACCTACAAAAATAACAACAGAAGAAAAATTGATTAATCAAATCCCATCATCATTCGAGGGTATCAATTCCTCTTACCTAGCAAGCTCCACCGATAATGGGAGCCGAGAAGGGTCATGAATATATATCTTTCCAGCCACTTCTTTACAAAAGATAGGCCCTTGCGGTAGTTTTTTGTAAGTTCCTCTACTATGGGAAGACGACTGCGAGGCCGAAGATGAAAGCGACCTTCTCCGCCGTTGATCGGAGCAAGGTGATAAGTGAACAACACTTCGTCGATGCCTAGGGGAAGACATTCCTCATCGCTCAAATTTTGGGAAGGAGAGATCCAGAAAAAGTCGCGGAGGTCCGCAATCAACGACGGAATATTTCCCTTGAAGCCAGACTCAAAGAAAGCCTCGTAAATGGAAATCTCCTCCAGTCTACCCATAGAAGCACGTTCAGATGAATTAGGAACACGGAGAACGATGAAGGAAGAAATTAGGTAATCCTTTCGCCACTTGACTAAATCATCCCCTTTCAATGACGATGCGGGGCCCACCATTGAAGAAGGAGGCGAGATGTAAGTTACATGGTTCGGGTCCAGAATCTTAAGCTCAGATCCATCATAATGATCCGAGGAGCTGTCCGACTTAGATATCGAAGAGTCAACCTTTCTTTTTGAACTCGACTTTTCAGTCGTCAAAGGAACTTAGGAACCGGAACGTTTTGACATAACAAAATTGCTCTACGAAAGAAGAAGAAGAATACTCCTCGGATCAAGAGGATTACCTGGAAGAATATGACAAGGTCTCGCAATGGCTTTGTCTAGAGAAATAGATGAGTATTTGAAGACATCACGGTTATTTTCTTCTCAAAGAAGCAACCAACCCCCTGAATCTCAAGCAAAAGATAAGATCCGGCTTTCAAAACTCAAAATAAAGAATCCCGCCTCCTAGGGATTTGGAAGAATAAGCATGATACGGACGTGAGTTCAAGAAAGGAAAGAAGATCTGACCAAATCAGTCACCTCAGGGAAATTACCTGCACCAGAATTTAAGGAAATTCGTCACCGACCGGAAGTTATATACCATATCACAGCTCCGCATAATCGAGGCCAAGGGGCTCATGCCCTGAAGATATCTACTGAACGTCATTTTACCAAGGGGAATACGACTTACTGTAGGCCCCAATCACGGTTCCGTCCTAATAAGGATCTGAAGAACATGGGGCCTAGAGCGATGCCTTACTTAAGGGGAATCTGCTGATAAAGCGACTACGCTCCACCTAGACACACTTTATCCCTTGATTCCATTGATGAAATCAAGGAATAAGGGGCAAACTGTTGGAAAAAAATGTCCAGGCACCAGATTCCTCCAGCTTCCGAGCTGGCACCGGCCTCTAGACCCCTGCTCCGAAGGGACCCAAGGCCCGGACCCTGCATCCAGGTTCCCCGGACCCGACCCCTGATCTAAAACCGACCCTTGGATAAAATGGAAGTTCTCCACTTAATTTTATATAAATAATTTATATATATAATAAAGATTTCGTTAAAAATATTATTTTGGTCAAAAGTTGTAAGCTTTTATAGTAACAAGAATTATTAGAATTAATATTAAGTAGACATACTATGTTTAAAATATACTCCTCTATTTCATTAAGATATATGTTTTAGGAAAATAATATGTTTCAAAACGATACATTTTGGTATTTTTGATGTATTTTTATTCAATTAATAATCATTAATTGTTAATTTCAAGAAAAATAATTGTATTTAATGAATTTTTATTGGTTTATAATTATGAAAATAGATAATTTCAAAAAAAAATATGTATTTACTATTGAAATTTAATGTATTCTTTTAATTTGCATGAAAAAAAACTAAAACATGTATCATTTTGAAACATAATGAATATTCTTAAGAGAAATAATGAAGAAAATTATCAGAATAAAATACAAATATATTTTGAGTTTATCTAATTTATGGAAAAAAAACATTGGAAATACAAAAAAAAACAAATAATACTCCATCCATTTCAGTTTATATGTCGTTGTAGAGAAAAAAATTGTTTTAAAATAATTGTTGTTTTATAATTTTGATGCAGAATTTATTAATCTTATATACTTTTCTATTTTTTATTTGTTGAAATGTGGTTAAATGTATAGGTCACTGTATTTTTTTTTTTTTTAAATATGTAAAATTAAATGTTTTTTTAATATGTGCATAAAAACCTTAAACGATAACTAAAATGAAACGGATGAAGTAATAAAAACTAAATATCCATCTCTAAGATAAATAAAAGCATGAAGCATGAAGTCTAGTTGAAGCAGAGCCGGTTCTAGAAATTTTGGGGTCCTATTCGAAATTCAAAAAATATTTACTTTTATTTAAGTTTTTAATATATTTTTATTAATTTTATAAATAATAGTTTAAAAATCTATTTTTTATAGAAAAATTAAAGTTGTAAGTTTTAATAACATAAATATACCTTCAGACTATAATTGTATTATTGGATTTATTTTTCTACATTATATTAACAAAGAAATGTTTTATATATAATATTTTTTTGTTACAAAATTTTTTTTTTTTAAATGTGGAACCCCACAAACTAGGGGATTCCATTCAAGTGTTTCATAGCCCGGCAACTGCTGAAGTGGCTTGAGGGACCACATGTCGACATGTCATGTCATGAGTGACATCTTTCTCACATGTTCCCACATCAATTTTCCTTTTCTTCTTTCTTTGTATTCACACATCTCAAATTAAGTATGCTGACCCAAAATAAAAACTAAATAATCCAAATTTTCCTCGATAACTTTTAAATCAAGTATGTACGTGTTGTAAAATGTTTAGCAAGATGAAATATTAACTACTATGCACAAAAATTTGAAAACTAAGAGACTTCCAGAGACAAAAATGATAAGTCAAAAGAGTAAGGGGAAGAATAATTTATTGTCAAATTAGTCATCTTCCAACAACAGTAGTCAAAGTAATATCGTTCACCGTGGCAACATCCCGACCTTCCACGATCTCACCGAAGTTCAAGAAAGAATGGAAGGTAGGCTTTCTTGGTCGTGGAAGGTTACTGGTTTGACTCTCCAACATTAACAAAACTGAACCCATGTTTGGTCTATGAATCACCGAGTCTTGTGTACACAACATCCCAACATGGATGCATTTTATCGCTTCGTTTACGTCTCGAATCTCCGTCACCGTTGGATCTATTAGCTCTTTGGTCTTTCCTTGGCTCCATAAATTCCACGCCTGAAATTTTGTCCTTTAGAACATACGTTTCTAGAAATGAAAAAGAAAAAAACGAACCAAACAAACGTAAATATAAAGAGACTTACATAACCGATGAGACTTCTATGTTCGGACCCTCGAAAGCTAACGTTCTTGCTTCCACTTACAATCTCCAGTATCAACACTCCAAAGCTGTACACATCAGTTTTATCTGAGAATATCCCTTCCATTGCATACTCCGGAGCCATATATCCACTACACAATTTTTGAACATTCAAAATCATTAGAAATTGATATAGCTTCACAAATGTTTTAATTTATAGAAGATAAAACAATGAGTTTCGGTTAGTTACTATGTGCCGACAACTCGGATCGTGTTGGCCTGATCTTGTCGGTAGTTGAAGATCCTAGCCGTACCAAAATCCGAAATCTTTGGATTCATTTCCGTGTCCAGCAAGATATTGCTAGCTTTTAGGTCACGGTGAATGATCTTTAGTCTTGAGTCTCTATGCAAGTAGAGCAGTCCTCTTGCAATTCCTCCAATAATATCCCATCGTTTTCTCCATTCTAAACTTCTCCGTTTACTCTCATCTGCACATGCATAGATACTTGATCCATCTACGAAATTTTCTCACTCGTTTCTTGATAATGCTATAGAAGAAAACATACCTAAAAGGAAACGGTCCAAGCTGTTATTTGGCATGTATTCATAGAGAAGTATTTTCTCGTCGTTCTCAATGCAACATCCTAGTAATCTAACGAGATTCCGGTGCTGGAGTTTTGCGATTAGTAAGATCTCGTTCTTGAATTCCTCTATTCCTTGCTTAGATTTGCCTGATAGCCTCTTCACTGCCATCTCTCTCCCTCCTGAAAAGTTTCCCTTTCCAAACATAAAACATATGTTTTACATAAATGTAATGCCTAATTATCCAACCAAAGATTAATGAACCTTAAGTCTCCAGAAGATTGAGTTTAGTTGATATTTACCTTATATACAGTACCAAATCCACCTTGTCCAAGCTTGTTTTCTTCAGAGAAATCTCCTGTTGCCGAAGCTACGCTGTTGAAACTGAAGGTTGGCAAATCGGGTGTGTCAACCTGATCCCCTGCTAGAACTTGGATCAGCGAGTCTGAAGACTTAACTGAATAATCTATGTTCTCTCTGTTCTCTTTATTTTCGGCAACTGTGTTATTTTTCTTCTTACACAAGAAATCTGTAGATCATGAAATAGCAGATCTCTCAGTCTCAGACCCTTTTGAAACTAGACTATAGAAGCTTTACCTTTAACTCTTTTCTTGAACTTCCATAAGATCCAAATGCATAAGTAGCATAACCCGAGCAGAATTGCACCTATAATACTAAAAAAAATTATCCAAAATTCCGTTTTTTCCTTCCTGCCTTCTGTATACATAAGAAAAAATAAAACCCCCAAACAAAGTTTAAGTCATATTTGAAAGATCTTTCAAATATTATGCGTACATAAAAAATGCTTTACGAACCAATTTCAGATGCCGCTAGCCGGATGTTGATGGAGTTTCCACCGTGCTCAAAATGCTCCATATCGACCAAATCTCGAGTCCAAATCATGCATCCGATCCCTGGTACGACCTCATAAGCATTACACGAGCAATCCCTCAGGCATACATCCTTACAAGTCCCTGATGAGCTGTTAATAGACACAACTGATCCAAAATCAGGAACCTTCATTCCTTTAAGTACCATAAACCGGTCTACTTTATCCCGAGACAGACTCTGCCTACAGTTCAGTGAGACTTTTCTTTTACAGCCACCCGAGAAATTTCTATTGTTCCATTGATTTCGATAAGCCGGCTCAAACCCATAAATGCAATTACATTTACCAGAATTAAAGTCTTTACTATCATTACATACGCTGTAATTACCGCAACGGTTATACTTCTCGCATTCCTTGCTGGGTTTCACTTGAAGTGAAGCCCATTTCCTGGCTACCCTATTCCATCTCAACTGCTCTACAATGCCATCATATCTGATCTGAAATCTCAATATGTCATCCTTATTTGATGGAACATACGTGATGTACACGCTACCATCTGGATCAGGAGGAGAAGAGAGCTTAAACCCATAAATATAGTTTGTTAGAGGGAACATATCTGGTACACCGGTAAAGATAGCTGAGTTCCAGGGTCCGCTTCGCCATTTCCTCGTTTCCCCTTCCCAAATCACAATCTCTATTGCCCCAAAGGGGTCAATCCCCATTGAGTACCTTCCTGGTGAAGGATCAGTTTCCGATTTCCACGGGATAAAAGCGTGATTTTCTCCCATTGAAGGGTTCACCCAAACCCGCATACCGGGCAAGAAAGTATCAGTTGGGTTGTTAAAGCTCTCCCAGTACCTAGTGTCCATGTCAGAATCTGAAGACAGAACCAAATCCCCTGCTTCCAACAGAATAGCAACAGTGTTGTTCAACTTGAGGGGCACGTCTGTGGACCAAACAATGTTGTTTCGACCGTTGACTATCACCAAGTTCCCGTCATCAGCAATCTTCAAGGCTCCGTTTTGATCAGACAATGGCTTCTCTCGATTCGCTACCCAGACAACTGTTCGAGGTTGGATGTTCTTGTACCAGATTCCGACATACCTGGAAGTTGAATCTTTCGGGCTGAAGAATCCAAGCTCGAAAACTCCGCTGATCAGTGAGTCTCCGTCTCGTATCGCGTGGTTTCTGGTGATTGAGGTGCTCGTGGTGCAAGATACGATGCTGCATAGTTTAAGCAAAATCAGAAGGGTCGTGACCAAAGCAAGGTCTCTGTTAGATTTTTCCATATTTCAAAAGATTTGATCCTCAGATATCAGTATAATACAAGACGAAAATTGATAATCGCTTTTGCAAGAAAAGAAAAAGGAAACTGATGGAAAAAGCCAAAAACAATAGTCGTTGAATTCTTTTTTTAATCTTTTTTGTCAGCAAGGCTAAACTAATCGGTCTTTCGAATAACTTGTATTTTTATATATAATAAGAGATGAGTCATGAATATGGCCATGTTCGTTTCAAGGAGACTGTTACATGCTACATGCGACTGCGATCTGCCACCAGGCACCAGCGATTAATTACAGATTGAAACTCACTATTCCTTTTGAGTTGCATGCTGCCACTGATCGTGAGATCAGCAGTCACATATCGCTATTTTGTATTACTAACAATATAGCGACTAAAAGATAAAAAAAACTTCAACGATTTGTGACTGGTCGCTATGATTAATCGTAAGATCATGAGATAACCAAATAAACAACAATTTTTCGCAGATTGCATTCGCAGTAACCTAACCTTAGAACGAACATGACCATATGATTATTTTTGATACGCTCAAATATAATCCTTCATGAACCACTCTGAAATTTCTGAGGTGTAATTGTAGTATTTAGAGTCGAATCTACAAAGAGATCACTCAATAAATTTCGAATTAAGCTAAACAAATATGAATGAAATGCAACTAAAAGAAATTAAAACGGTTGTAGTTTCGATTAAGAAAAGAACTAGACTTAGCGATATTTTCAGGTAAATCAAAAAACAAGTTGCTAAGGGTTTATTTAAGACCGTTCTTGAACTCAAATCCCAATATTCAAATCAGTCAATTTTCGTTGCGGATATTATCTAAGTCTATATCCTAGAATTCCAAATTTTTTCAAAATTTAATAGTTCAAACAAGCATTAAACATATGTTTGATAAGTTCACAAAATCCATAAACCAAACTTCTTGTGGATAGATATTTTTCTCATCTAAGATTAAGTCACGAGATCAATAACACTTTTGAATTTACCAACGGTCCTAAGATCTGAATTCCAGGTGATCAATCTAAAACTAGCATTAATTTCAATCCATATGAAGAACTATAAGATTACCCTAACAACTCATTCACTACAAGAAAACAGGGAAAATTCCAATGGACATTAACAGCGTTAGTTTTTTTGACCGAATTCTGACGAGTTACCTCACTATTATAATTTGAGTTTTTTCGGTATTTCCTCGGAAATTTCTGACGAAATACCGACGGCAAAAACGTCATCGGATAATTCCGACAAAAAACCGAAGAAATTTTATATTCGTTAAGATACAATTAATATTTGTAATACTTTTGCTTTTCGTCAGAAATTTATCCGAAATTTCTGACAAAATTCCGATGGACAGTTTGACCGTTGTATGGTCCGAAAAAATTCCAACGAAAATACCGACGGAATTCCCAAGAATATTTTTGATCGTTCGAATTTTCGACATAATTCTGACGAACTTTAAAATATTCGTTGAAATTTGGTCGGAAATCCTTCGGAGTGTCGACAGCAGCTTTTCTCTACAAATACGAGCTCCACACACCACATTCCTCTCATGCACTCTTTATTATCTCATCATTCTCTGAAAATCCGAAAAAATAATTATGTCTTATGGAAATTGTTATCGATCGTTGATGGATAAACCACATTTAGATCCAAACACCAAGTTGATATCTACCACCGTTTGGTTTCTTAGTTATGTGAGTGTGTACAAAAAAATAGTTACATATATAATGAAATAATTTATCACTGCTAAAAACATAAACATCTTCTACTTATAGGTGATTGAAGGTTTGGCTAGAGGTGAAATGTTCGATGATTGGATACTCGAGTTTGTACAAAGACCAAACTATTTAGTCAACTCATATCCAAAATATACAGCTCGAGGATATGCATTCTCAAGGGAATGCCATTCTAAGACAACTTATGATGCTGGTACTTCGTCTTCATCCGGGGACGATGTAGACTATGGCAACATACAATATATTTTGGAGATCCAGTATCCCGATATGGTAATATATTTTTAACCCAAGTGATGTATTTCATGATCTGCAGAGGATATCCGACCTACAATCAGATGCCTAACAACGAACGCGAGTTGTGGTTCCATAATTTTTCAGTAACGTTCTAATTTTTTTGTTTTAATTTTTTATTATATATTATTTATTGTTTCATTTTTTTGCAGCAACATTTCACGTGGGAGTCTGGATATACCGCAACTGTTTGTCAGGGCTTTCACAAGAAAGTCGCTGAGTCTTATACGAATCAGATCTATGATGGGAAGCAGCTATGGCTCAAGGGCAAGTCACCGAAGAATATCAACAGCACAGTTTGGCAACAGTAGCAAGTGCATTGGGAGAAGCAGGCTACTATAGATAAATCCCTCAGAAACTCATCCAACCGCAACAGCGATCGTGGCGGGAAAGGTCGTTTTCCCCACAAACTCAGGGCTTGCAGTATGTATAGTAAGGAGGACCAATTTGTAAGCTTTATATATTTAAGTTTTATATATTTTGAAAAATTAATTTTTATTTATTTTTTGATTATTTTTTAAAAAAGGTAGAAGCAATTGAAGGTAATCCCGTTGATCATGTCGACGTCATGAGGGAGACGTACATTAACAAGAAGATATGTGAAATTCAGGATGATCCCGTCATGAAAGAGGTCATAGAGTTGGTGCAACCCAAAAAGAAGCATTTCTAGTTTCTCAGCCAATCTCTGATGACAATTCTGCGACAGGTTCCACCAATTTTTCCCGGCTACGAATAAGCAAAATGGTGGAAAATGTAATTTTTTAATTTTCATTTCCCTATTATTTTCATTTGTTACTAATATTTATATTATTTGAATTTTTTTCTAGGCAGTTCCAAGGAAGAAAGGGCGGTTGGTCGGTTTGGCTCGTCGTGCAGCTTCGTGTCTTTCTTCTTCTCAAGTTCCAAATGTTGATCCCGTGATTATGGAGCAGCTGCAGAACAAGGATGAACGGATTGTAGCGTTGGGGACGCAGAATGCTACAATTCTTGCTGAATTGCCGGATCAAAAAAAAGTCCAATCAAGATAAATTGGAGAAGGTGAAGCGTTTTTTTCCCCATGAATTTTAGAGTTTTTTTATTTTAAAACATTAAAATGTTGTTTAAATTATATCTTATGTAAAACTTATTTATTTAATATATGTTTTAATTTCAGTTTTAATGTTTTCTAAAAAATGTATTCTAAAATACAAATTTATAAACAAAAATGATATCGATAATAACAAAATTCCGACGAATATATATCCGTCGGAAATTTACGGAAAATATATCCGTCGGAAATTTCCAAAAAAAATTCCGACAAGAGGATATCTTTCAAAATTTCCGATGGATATTGTGAGGGATAAAACTCACCTCCTAATTTTAGATCAGGTAAAGATTGGAGAAAAGATAACGTGGGCTGAATCCCGTTAGACTTGTATGAATGAATACGTTTGTTTATATTGATTTTAATAAGAAAATGAGTTTACAAAGATGATCTTAATAATCTGATCAGAAATACAATGAAGAACTTAGATGATTATAATCAACGAAATGTGTTTAAGTCTTTAGGTCTAAAAATGAGTCCAGAGAGAGGATCCCCTTCTCTGATCTCCTCTTCTTCCTTGAATAGCTCTCAGCCATGTTTGAACGATCCTAACCAATCTCCGAGATTTGCTCCGTGAGTTGGGGGATTCTCAACAGTATCCTTTTGACCGGGTCCTGCGCATCCAACCTGAGCTACTCCTGTTAGCTCTTTGTGGGAGTCGATTTCACCCTACTGTCAAATAAATCGTAAATAAGGAAACTTCGGGAAAAACCCTAAGTTTCCAGAGGAACCGGCTATCTGCGAGAACCGCACAACGAAAATAAGAAAACGATAACTTAGAATAAAAACGAAAATAAGAGAGGTTTGAGAGCAAGAAGGTTCTTATTCCGAATCTGCGTTGAACTG